ACTTAATGTGGGCTCTGCTTCTTAGGCGGCTAGTTTCAAACATGCTGCTTGAAGAGAAAATCACACATTTTCTGTTTATTTGATTATAAGCATTGTTCATATATTTTTTTTACGGAGAAAAGCTAATGGGTTGGAGAGTATGTTTGTTGACAACTGCTGTTCGATGTCCAAATGTTTGCGTACTTCCACTCTTTCTGTTTCTGTCTGGGGCGAGAGAGGGGTATGAAAGTTTCACATCCTATAGAATTTTGGAAATGTTTAAAAAAATACCAATAAAAAGCTCGTGTGAATATGACGATAAAGCACATACATTTTGTTACGTGACTGATTTTTCAGAATAACATTACTGATTGGCCGAGCTAAGCCACGAAGGGGGGGGGGGTGACAGAAAAATGACAACCATCTTGTTTAGGCTTAGCTGACGTAAGATTTGCCTTGAGTATGTGGCTTATTGGATGAGATTTTAATAATGAACATGGGTTAAATGTAACAGTTGACTTTTTTGTTTTGTTGTTTCTTTCAGACGATGTACTAAATGTGTATATTACGACACATGAAAGTTAATTATTTAATTTATGTAGTGCATATTGCTGTATAGATGACTTATTAATACTAGAAATATACGACCTTATAATACCATTTTGGTGTTATAAAGTCGTTTATTTCTAGTATTAATAGTTGAAAGTTAATGTTTTGTGATGTATCTGTATGTTAAGGACAATCATATATATAAGCCATTTGTTACAACAACAAGTATTATTATGTGAATGCCTTTTCTAAGCTAAGAAACATGATTATAATTAATTATACTTGTTACAACACATTAGTATTAGGCCTATTATATGTTTTAACACTGCATTCTTTATGTAGTCCCTTAAGGTGTGTGTTTTCTTAGAGCAAAACCACATCAGGTTATGTGCTCTGTCCACTGTGGGGAAATCGAACCCCTGATTTTAGCATTGTAAATCCGAAGACTTACAGCTGCCCCATCGGGGGACAGACCCTTAGGGATTTTAAAGAATTATGAGATTGTATAATAATAGTATTTAATTATCAATTTTGAGTGAAATTTTAATGAATGTTGTTGACTTCTATTTGTGAAGTTTTATTCATTTCTCGACACTTTATTTGAGCCATTTTTCGGATTTATATTTTTTGGACATTTCCTGGCATAGGTTGGTGGTTAGGGCACGTGACTCGCAATCTGTGTGTCGCGGGATTAAAACCCGTCCTTCAGCACACTCGCCCTCTCAGACTTGGAGGCGTTATGATGTACAGTCAATGACACTATTCTTGGGTAAAAAAGAGAAGCCCTAGAGTTGGCGTTGAGTGACTTTAGCTAGCTTTCTTCATTCTAGTCCATCACTTCAAAATTAGGGAAGCTGTCGCATGTAACCTTCGAGTAGCTTTGCGCAAAATTCAAGAAACAAAATGTTTTTGGACACATTATTTTCAGTTCTGTTTAAACAGGCAGTTGAGGATATTAGCCTTATCACTTAATACTTCTCACAAAACAATACACTATAGAGACAGTTCCAAAGCAAGCAAGGTGGAAGAAAATATTTTAAAGAACAACAGTGGAAGAGCTTTAATGATGCTTATGTTTCGTGTGTGGGGTGGGGGTGTTACTACCTTTAAAAGGAACAGGGGGGTCGAATCTCTGTAGCACCTTCATTCTATAGATTCTTTTATTTCAGGTGGTAGAAATTATAGATACCGATGTGGGGAAAAATTCAGGAGAGGAATTTTTGTCAACATACACCCCCTTCAAACTCTGAAAGAACGATAACGATATAACAAATGACAGTGACAAAATGTCCAACTACTCTTATAACCTAAGTTTTATAGGGGTGTGTTTGTGTTTTTAACATATTTTTTACATACACACACATACATACGCAGTGAAACATAAGACATTGACAAGATGTCCAACTACTCTTATAACCTAAGTTTTATAGGGGTGTGTTTGTGTTTTTAACATATTTTTTACACACAGACGCAGTGAAACATAAGACACTGTTTGTATTTTCAACTGTAAGCTTAAGGGCTTATAATGGTAAAACCCGAGGCTCAATACCCGCTGCGAAGACAGCGAATATAGCCCATTGTACAGCTTATTTCGTTTGTTTTACGAATAAACGTAATTAAGTGCGAATGCGTTGCTGTACGTAAACATTATTTCCACCTAACCATTAAAGGCCCGA